GAGCGTTGCATATTAGCGAGACTTGGTGTGAGGTAGTCTGCAAGATGGCAAACCGCGGAGGGGGTTAAAGGGGAGAGGCGGCTCCGTGAATGTTAGTCTACGGGAAACCGAGTTGTCCCGAGAAGGTAGCGAAGGTAAGATGTGTGACTCAGGTACCGAACGAGAAGCGAAGAAGCCCGAGTTCGAGTCCTGTCGCATGCCGTTAAATCGAGAACGCCGCGTTAATTATGAATAAGACGAATAATGTATATATAAAGTTGTGTGATAACAATAAGACGTATTCCTATATGTACATCTACGCCTGTTCCAGCCGAAAGGTGTATACAAATACATCCTTTCTGATCTTGAACATTACTATCGCTGCTGGTTAGTTCGGCGTAAGAATGGATTCTATGCTTGTTAATTACAGAAGTTAAAGTTGTAGATTTAGCCGTATGGTCAAGGGCTGTAATATCGAACTGCGGCATTTCGTTTTCAGGAAAGTAGACAACACCAGAATAGACAGATCAGACCTTAAGCAAAATCATATCTTCGTATTTTTCTGCTGGCTTCCGTTCTGGTCACGGTCTGCCGTCTCGTCTATATTTTTCTCACTGATGTTTACAATGATTAGTCGTGTGTCCTTGTCTAATTACAGTCAGTGGCACCTAAAACAATCCAACGCTATGTATTTCCCAGTAGTGTGTTATCGCCAATTGCCGTCAATATTTGCATTTTGCATCGATTCGATTCCTTTTGAAATGCGGAAGCAATAAACCAACATCCCTAGCCATAGCGGTATCGTGACCCCAATCATCAATGAGAAAATACGCAAAAGACGTTATATTCAACGTTACTAAAAACGATAACGCTATAAAAGGCAGAAATACTGCTCTTATGTCTATCTCGATCCATTTATGTACTAGACTGTTATAAGCGAGTCCAGCGAACTTTGAAATTGATTAATCTTTGAACTACGCACGTCTGAGAGAAGGCATTTGATTGGTGAATACCCCCCAGTCTTCTAAAAACTTGTGTGTGAAAACCGCTAGAGTTTACTAACAAGTTCAGAAAAATATTTTTTAGTATATGAAAATAAAAGCTCATGCCGCAGTATTGCGAAAATTACTGAAGATTTGTGAAGACAGGCAAGGAAGTAAACGGGAGCTCAGAAAAGGTACAATGGGGCAAATGTTGCAAGGACGGGGGCTGGGAGCTGGAGCGATAAGGGCGAGCGAGAAGGTGACTAGATCTCGGGACCCGAAAAACAAGAATGCGTTGTTGCAATTGAGCAAGATTTTCACAAAAATAGCTTGCAGTATAAGAGACAAAAACTGGCATTTTAGATGAAATGTGTTAATTATTATAACCTAAATACTGAAAGACGCTGAATAAAATTGGTCTCCGTGAATTGACCCCGGGCTAGTTAGAAATGTGAGTGGTGCATAGTACGTCCGCCCTGAGCATACGGTCGCCATAGACGAGAAATATTTCAGTTTCTACTGCCAGCCGAAAAGCAATTTGGCAAGAGAGCAGCTCGAATAGATTCAAACCTCATCGCCATGCCTCCTTAATCACTTTCTGGATTGAGCAAGTGAGTACATATCATTGGTTTCAACACGCTTCTCCTTCAACCTCCTAATCTAAAACCGGATGATTACGGGCCTTTTCTGCCCTAAAAAGGCAGCTAGACAAGCGTATATCTAACCAGTGGATTTACTCCGATCGAGAAGTTAACTATGGGTACGCGAGTTGTAAGTATATGGCTATTTAAAGCCTGCCAGAGCACTAGGGAAAGTACGGACGTGTAATTAAAAATCATCACCTTTGCCCAAGTTGTTCGTTTATTTTCCAGTTTGAAAGTCGATTGTCAAAGAACAGTTTTGAAGTCCGCCAGATTCGCATGTAACAGCTTTATGTATACATGTATGCACATACATCTTTCGCCGATTTTCTACAGGGGTAAGAAAATGATATCCCATAGACGTAATCACCCTTGAAAATCTAGTTGGCAGTTGATAGCTTGGTCGTTTTACAGTATATCATTAAAACATTATGTGACACTAAGTATTTATTATTTAGGTTAATTGGAACTGCTTGACAGACGATTTTCTGCCGGCGTAGCGAGCGATGCTTGACGTACGGATTGGTTGTCCTGATTTGTGTTGTGGTTTTCAAGCATTCTATACATATAGAAGTTGACAATTTCGTTTCCGATGTGGTAGCAACCGCTTAAAGAACAATGTCAATGATCGACATAATTATATGCAACCGTCGCCACAGTGGGCTGCGAAAAATCTCATGCTTATCTGATTCAGCTTCCAACATAGACATCGTTGAGTCTGAATTATATTTTTCCTCGCACAGTCCTGGACAGACGAGTACTTTCATTGATATATTTAGTACCTTAACGGCAAAGTCATCGGTGCTCTTTATATACTATTTGTCAGCTTCAAAAGGCATATGTCAGACCTGCAAAGGCGTTTTTTTTCATTCAAATAATACAACGAACGACCAATGAACGTAGAAGACATGTGGGACATTATTGCTGCTAATATTATGAAGGACTGTGAAGTTACTACAAATTTATTCGGTTGGTTCACTATTCCAAAGTGTCTACTGGTAAACCCCTATAATAAAATTGGGAACCCACAACATTCAATTGAATCATAAAAAGTAGTTGTATCTAACGAAAAAACGTAGACACGAACGTATTATGAATTATTTTATTCCTGACAAGCATAATTTACTTTTAATTAAGGAGAAGGGATTTTCTTTTAAATCTTTTTCAGTTTAAGGTTTCGAGAACAACTCGACTACCGACAGCTTTTAGAGTTAATAAGCTCTATTATTCCACTTGGCCTGCATCTGTTTTTTTCAGGCAGTCGTTCTTTCACTTCTGCTTTTTCTATTGCGGTTGCTATCGCCGTCATTTTTGCGCTCCCTCTGTCTTCGTAGCTGCCGCCGGTGCCATTTGCCGCTCCTCCTGCCTTTTATTATTGGTGGCGCTACTACAACTGCGTTTATTATTTGGCTACTGCGGCCCTTCGTCTCTGTCGCGTCGTCGTTTGTCTTGGTCGTTGTATATCATAGCCAGCCCAGGCCTAAAGGTGCTCGTGCCTCCTTTCGTTGACCCTTCGTAGTGACGCAGCCTATGCGAAAGAAAAGGTCCATAAATAGTGCTATTTGCCAGCCAGCCAGCCAGCCGCAAGTCTCGTCTTGCCTTCCTTCATTTAATATGATTGTGGGTCAACGACAGTGTAGACGATAGGGTTATAGAATGCCTATATGGCTGCGAATGCGGGGCGGGATAGTGTGGGCTAGCATTGCGTTCGTTCATTCACTTCTCGACGTTCTTCGTAGCTTGGACCTCTGGAAGGACTGTCTTTCGTCGTTTTTCTAGGGCCAATTCGTTGATTCGTCTGTCCATCTCCAGCAGCGGTCAGCATCTAAAGTTGAAGATGGGCTCACTATTTTTGTTAGTGGCAGTGGTATCCGCCAAATCCTGATACATAGCCTTGCAGAGAGGTAAGTCATGAACCCTTTCTCCATTTCGGCGTGCCGATTGGAAAAGCCCCGAACGGAACTGTACGATGTAGGGTGACGCATAATGTGTACGCAGTGCACAGACAGGAAAATCTAGTCTATGTGGAAACGGTTGACGGTGAATGGCAGACTAAAACCTAGAGGTGCATGGCGCTGTGCGGCGAAGTTAGAAAACGGTAGAGACAACGGTATAAAATGATGCCTGGGTCGACTTAGGATTTTAGGTCCAAACTTAAATTTTGCGGCAAGATAAAAGACTCAAACCCAAACTTACATTACCAAAAGAAGATGGAGAGAGGGGAAAGATGGTTGCTGTTTACCACCATTACTCATTCTAGATCCAAAGGGAGAGCAGAAGCGAGCCCAGGAGGAGGAAAGCTTTAGAAAATGCTAGAGTGAAAGAAATAGAGAAGAACGCGTGATGAGGATGTGTAAAGAGGAAAAACTAGGATAGCGACAGAAAGAACAGGATGAACTTACGTCGGGTAATGAAGAGCCTACTAGGGTCCGCCTTGCAGATTTGCAGTGGCATTTAAGAGATAGTGGGAGATGAAAAGAATGACCCAGGACTGGCCCGTGTGGTGCTAGTGGTTCTTACAGCACAGAACGGAGAAAGCGAGGTAATAGAAGCAGTAGTAGTAATAAGAAACAACGAACGGGACAGAAGTCGCTCTCTGGGAACAATGACGAGAACGGGGACATGCTGCCTGACAGCAAATGTTAAAGCGTTGCGATTGGCGAATGGCTAACAGGGCACAGGACAGATGCACAATCAAGCAGATAGGAGTAAAGATCGGTTGTTCGGGAAATGGGTAACCAGCAGCAGATTGGTGGCAGAAGGGTCCGAGTGGCGCGGGATGGTGTCGTGTCGAAAACAGTAGCCGCACGGTGGACCGAACCGACTGTTGTTTCAACGGGGGACACTGGGGTGGGTGTGATATAGGGTAGACTTGTATCAAAACAAAACTCATTCGTCTGGAAGTATCTCCGGTTGGTATATACACAATGGAGGAGCCCAAGGAGCACAGATGACTAGGAAGGGAGAGCACGTAGTGAGATATGTAGGGTGATTGCTCAAGGAAACGACTAGGTTGTCAAATCAGCTTTGTAAAGGACAGGCATAGAGAACAACAAAAAGTATAAGCTACAATGTCGTATATTGGAGAATGCAGAAGTTTTGAACTGTTGATGGAAAACGTCTTCGGAATGACAAATCCGTTTTCCAAGTTTGTCTTCAAGTTGCTCAGTCATTATAAGTGCGAACTTCGACATCAAACCCTAGATCAACAGAAGCTCACCGTAGGCGTACTCTACCATGAATAAAACGGTCCTTGCTTATACGGCGTCTGATTACTTTGTACTCCATAGTCGTATGTTATGAGACAACGAAGCTTCGATTTTATCGTTAGCTTGGTATTGTTGTAGTTATTGTATATTTTGTTTGTGTTAACGTATTATTGTGAATTTCATTTCAGGTGAGGCAAAAGAAGAACTAATGCGAATGTTGGCCGAAGACGAACTCCGAGATGCCGTCTTACTGATTTTTGCCAACAAACAAGATCTTCCCAACGCCATGAATGCAGCTGAGATCACTGACAAGCTTGGTCTGCATTCGCTGCGCAACCGGAATTGGTACGTTATGACCTGATCAGCTTTGTCAAAAATGGTGTTCTTCAAATTTGAGTTGCAGCACGTCATTCCTGTAGGGAACGACAGAGCATTACGTACATTTTTCTGTCCTCGATATTAAGACATTTACTGTCAGTCAGCGGAGACTAACCGATAGTAACTCAATCAAAGAACGATTAATCAAACATTTCGCTGGGGTCGTTAACGTAGCGGTTGCGGGGAGTTCCACTTTAGCGACGCACTTTGCATACCGAAGTTAGTTTCAGGCCCACAGTTTTTCTATGCAAAGATGTTATGTCTCAAGAGTTGTCAAAAAGGGTGGCTATCTGTGTCCGTTGTGAAAGATTGTGCTCTTGGACATTGAAACTAAAAATCGAAATCGTCTTTTCCTGAAGATCCAACTTTGCCACCTTTTGCGCCGATTCGCATTTATTGGTGGGTTCATTCACACCCTAGACGTTTTCATTATCACTACATTAATTCCACCAGCCGCGTTCACGGTTTTCTAGTGAATTCCCAAAAAATACTGTTTGATGCTGTACTACTGGACAATCTGTGAACGTGTCGCAAACCTTCTCATACTAATTTTACTATTTTGTATGAAGAGGTAAGATCTAGCACAAATTGGCGAAGGCGGAACTCTATGCTAGGCGAAATTCACGAGCAAAACCTGCTTCGAATGCCGATGTATTTTCCATACAAGGATATATACATGACCTAGTGTATATAAGCATACCTAAAAGCAGGTGCCTGTGTGTTATAAATCTATGCAAATATGTGTATTCACGCAGGACACGTATTCTGTACCAACATTTTCCTTGGTTTGTGTTCTGTAGCCCCTGCCCAAGGGCACTGTGGCTGCCTCACTACTGATATTGGTGCTGCTACTGTCGGTTGTTTCTTAAATGAACAAGATGGTAAGTAACATGTTCCTAGCTAGGTCTGTCTCTTGCTTCCCTTGGTGGTAAAAGCTGACGTGTCTACTACTATACGAGGTCCGTACAATCGTAAGTTATATTACAGCAGTAGTTACAAAAGCAGATCTAGAAGTGATCGAGAGGTAACGTTGGTCCTCGTTTTTTTTGTATGGGGAGAAAGAGAAAGTCCGATAAGCAAAATAGTAGCTGGGCAGCAGCTGGACCACCTATGCGCTGGTTCACTAGATTCGGATATTAGCAGCGGTAGTGCCAGCAGGAGCTGCTTTTGCCGTTGACAGAGAGAAAGAGAGCTCCTTGGCCAGCTTCATGGCAGGAAGCCTTCGGCTGGGCTGCTTAATGAAAACAGAGTTGCGAGTAACCAACAGCAAGCGTTCTGACCGCCGACACGGTCCGCAGAAGAACCTTCGCCTCCGACCTACGGAGAAGGAACAGAATGTAAGCGCACCTAGCCAGTTCTTGTGCTGGTTGCGGAAAGAACCCATATGGAAAAGGAGGCGTGGAGATGTAGATGGGTCGGAAAACGAGGCAATGCTACAGCTGCGTAACTATCTGCAGTCCTTGTTCCCTCGTCAACTCTTATGGTTGCATTACCAACTCTCCGCTCTGTTCGCACTGTTCTTTTTGTTTTGGTGATATCCTCCTAGCATAGCCCAAGTTGTGTATGGCTGTTTGTATATACGTGCATCAATAAAAGGCAGAGTAACGGCTACCAGCAACGATCGTACGCTAACTCATGAAGACGTTCGTTGACTCCACACGTGCAAACAATAAAAACGACTTTTTGTTGCACATTCGCCTTTGACAGTATTGTCAGATTTACAACGGTGGTGGCGGCGGCGTCAGCCACTTAATGATGTTATGGAACGAGTTCAGAAACGTCTTTAAAAGGAACACTTCAACAAAAGCATTATCACCGCGCTTACCGAAAGTGACGAAAATGCTAATCTTACGTGTTTTGCTATTACATTAACAACAATAATGTATATACAAAAGCACCTGTAACATTTGTAATGGCGATGAGACTATCAACATAATAAACGAAAGAAACCTTTGCTCATAGTCTTTTACTTTCGATTTCACAATAGAATAAAAACGGCAAGTTAGCTGCACTAAACTTGTCAATTGCGTTCTCTAAACTCTTATGTAAGCAGGTTAACCACAATAGAGTATGGCACGTTTCTTTCAATGAAGTTTACACCGACTTTCCATCAAGCGAGCCGTGAGTGTGGCGCCTAGGGTAATATCGTTGTCAATTTCGAGTAAATCGTGCGATACTCAACGCTGTCATCAATGACGCTCTGCATCTATTATATACGCAACGTGATCCTAAGGGAATTATCAGTAGACGTCAGAAAATTTAAGGGATTTTTATGAAAAGGCCTCCGTTTGCTGGTGTGTCGTTCAAAACTCTTATATGTTCTGTGGCCTTCCAGGTATATTCAGGCGACGTGTGCCACTTCGGGAGACGGCCTTTACGAGGGCCTGGACTGGCTCTCGAACCAGCTCAAAAATCAGAAGTGAGAGCGTTGTTAAGTGGCTTCAGGACGCCCCGCACCAATCAACTAGCGAGAACGAGAGGACAAGAGAGAATGGTATCGATCATCATTATCATGATCATCATTATCAACAACAAAACAGCAGCAGCAGCAACAACACTGAAAGACAACTCTATAATCTATCCGAGGGAGAGAGAGCAGGAAAGGAAGAAAGAGAGCCAGAAAGAGAGAAAGAGATAGAAAGTGATGTAAGAGTGTGTGCATCATTCGCTTCCTCCCTCTACTATATATAGATACACAATGGAAGTGAACGCAGAAAAGTGGTAGGAGTGGAGAAAAAGAAGTTCGGTGTTCATCAGTACGGCGGCAGTGTATTTGTGTATCTGTTTGTACACACGAGAGTAACAGTAGTAGACAATAACCATTAACTATCCATTCGCTCTCCTTCCCTCGCCGCACCTAATGAAGGCTTCTGTTTTTCTCCAGCCGAGCCGGCTGCGTCACGGTGACGTGAGGAAAAGTACAGAACTGGTTGAAATGTAAGGACGACGATTATGGCGATGATGATGGTAACGATGATGACGATGATGATGACGAAAATATGATTATAACATGATGTGTATAACATTATAATGGGTTTAGAGCTGGTAGCCTTAGTTAGAGTAATAAAACGTAGGGGATGGTCAAGTATAAAGAATTAAGCAATGGAGAAAGGTGGCGGGAAAAACTACGTTGGGCCGGGCGGATACGAAAAAAAATTAGGTATAGTAAAAATACGATGGGCAAAGCAAAACGAGCGAAAGAAAAGTAGAGAGAAAGAATGAAGGCACTGGAAGAAAAACCCAGGAAAACTATAAATATAGGTAGATATGGAATAGGGAAAAAATGGTCGAATGGGACTATAAA